GACCCGGAGGAGACTCCTGGCTCCTGGCTTCAACTAGGCGCAGCTCCGGCTGTTGTGGACAATTGGGGAGTGAACCATTGGATGGAAGACGTCTCTCTCTTTTTCTGCCTCTCCTCTCTCTGTGTAACTCTTTCAAATAAATAATCTTTTTTTTTCAATAAAGTAAAACTCTATCTTTACCACATCCTCATTTAAGAAAGAGACCCTGTTCCTAGGATAGTACCTGACCAAACAAAAGTTGCTCTGTCAAGGATTTTTGAATAAATGGATAAATTTATAGGAACTCAGGTATATGGAAACAACACTAATATATATAGTAAATAGCAGCTAGTTAGAATTGAGGTTTTGCTTGTACTTGGGCATTTTTCAGATTCTACATAGTATCATCTTTTTATGACCCTTGTAAATAGAAGCACCCCTTTTTGCAACCAAGGAACTGAAGCATAGATACATTGAATAACACACTGAAGCACACTAAGTTGCAAATTGGGGAATGAAACCCACACAGTTTGCTCCTTTAGATATACATACACCCACTGGTTCTGCTGCAAAGCCTTCCCACCCAGTGGAATCCGAAAGATGTGAGCAAAGTATGACTTGGCTACTCATTTTCTGTGTGATTCTGAGTGGCTTATTTAACCTTACCAAATCAATCTCTTGCATTGACAATGGAAGAAAATATAACAAAGTATAATTTGCAAGGCGGTTGTTATATTCAGATCAATTGTGCACATGAAGCTTCCATGCCTTTCTCTGGTGGTTTGCATGGCATGAATGGAGAAGCTGATTTATTGGCCAAGTTTATGCACACCTTGGTTAATTATGGTGCACTGAAGTATGCAGCTCCAAGTTGATACTTATGGAGTTTCTAAAATCCACCCCTATTTTCTTTCAATTCAGGTCAGCAGAAAGGACTTAAAGGTTTTTTCCCTCCACCTCGATCTCATTGTAAGAGGTCTGTGTCACACTCATGCTGATGTCTTGTCCGTGCGTGCTCAATGACTCCCTGCACTAGAAAGTATTAACTGCTATTGGGCAGGAGCCAGAAATGCATTGGTAATTAATTAAAAAGTTGTCCAGATGGGAGGCAGAGAATAGTGAATGATAGAAGTATGTTATTTAGTTATTATTGACAACTAAGAATGATGCCTTCCATTTTTAACAATACTTAGAATTTATAGATCAGTTTATATGGGTACAAAGTTTTCCTTTCCATTTTGAATGGTGTCAGATCAATTAAAGATAAAGGTATGTTAGTGAAAACAGGAAATAATTAGCAGAAGACCCTGTCTCAAGACCAAATTTGGGCTGGTGCCGTGGCTCACTTGGTTAATCCTCTACCTGCGGCGCTGGCATCCCATATGGGCGCCGGGTTCCAGTCCCGGTTGCTCTTCTTCCAATCCAGTTCTCTGCTGTGGCCCGGGAGGGCAGAGGAGGATGGTCCAAGTGCTTGGGTGCCTGCACCCGCGTGTGAGACCAGTAAGAAGCTCCTGGCTTCGGATCAGCGTAGCTCTGGCCATAGCGGCCATTTAGGGGGTGAACCAACAGAAGGAAGACCTTTCTCTCTGTCTCTCTCTCTCACTGTCTACAACTCTACCTGTCAAATAAAAAATAAAATAAAAAAGACCAAAGTTTTCAAAGTTTGGTCCCTTCACTATACCTCACTGCCTTTCTAGGTATAAAGAGGTAGAAGTGCAATAAGTATTATTATAACAGTTGCCACCAGAATTCCCCTAAGTATGAAATCATAGGCAAAGAATCCTTGGAGATAAAAGTAACTTTCAGGAGATGAGGATCAATAGAGAAGCATGGAGAGAGACGAACTTTAAGGAACACCACAAGAAATAGACTTGTTCCCACTCATATTTTGGGTTTTGTTATTTGCTTATTTTAGTATCAACATGTGAAAAGAATAGTATTTTATATGGTCACAAATAGACTGACAGATACAAGGTTGTAAACCTGAATATGACTGACTTCAGAGATTTTGCAAATGTTATCTTTCTTCATCAACTTTCTGTTATAGTTTTCCATAAAGAAAGATAACTCAAAGAATCCACATACCCCCTGCTAAGGCAGAATGCAACCAGATGGCCCCAATAAAAAAAAAAAAAAAAAAAAAAAAAAAAAAAAAAAAATTAGTCTGCCCTGGGCAGTTTTTATGCTTCTGAAATAAATTTGTCAATATTCTAACTGACGATCAGGGTGATGAGCTTTCCCCAAACTTAATTTCATCTCCTGCTGTTTATACCAGAATGGAGATGCAGGTAACTGTTTTCGTTATAACATTAGTCTGAGGAATTGCCTCAGAACTCCCAAGGAGGAGTGGTGTTTTACAAATATTGTGGGTCTCATGTCTAGAAATGTGTGTTTGAATACTGTTTTTGAAGCTAAGAGCGAACATGAGTGATGCACTTTATCTCTACAAGCCTCAGTTGTCATTCCTGAAATCACTTCAAGTCTTCAACTAGAAATCACATGCTTGGAAATGTAAATAGAAGCCTTGGATCTGGGTCTTCCAGGTATTTATTTCAATTAAGTGATTAGCAGAATGATTTTTCAATTCACCCCACCACTACCCCTATAGGGATAGAGAAAGACTACTAGAGAACTTGTTTCCCAGACCAGGGTCTAACATCGGCACCTCCTGGGGAAATACAAAGAATCTACCTCAGAAAAACTCAATTTTGACTTCTGTCAGGTAAAGATCTGAACCTATGTTTCATCAGGCACTCTGTGTGTTCTAATTCACACCAAATTTTTAGGATCACAGATGAAGAGAGGTCACATAGTTCCTGAATTTGAATGTTTGAAGCCAAGTACAAAGAGTTGTAGGCAGAAACTTGAGGAGAGCTCACTCCAGCATTTCTCAACTACTATCCCTCTTTTTGAACCTAAGAAATATGCTTACTTTTAGTGTTTCATAAACAAGCATTAAATCACACCATAAAGAGTCCATAACACTGCTTTGATTTTCTTCTACTTATGTCCACCTAGAGAATCTTATATGCCTAAGGTACCTTGGCTTCTGTCACATTATCAAGAAAGTGACTTGTACACTCTGCACCCTCTGCACTGTGTCTGGAATCTTTCTCATTCCATATTCATTACCCCCTTTCATGATGCTAGAACCTATTGCTTGAGCTCTACTCCAGGCTTAAAATAACTCTCCAGATACCTATAGCCTTTCCCATTATCTATAGAAGCAATGCAAATTCAACCTGGGGGAATTTTATGAAATACTCGTCACCTACAAGGATGGCTTGGAAATACCCAGTTTCTTTTTTAAAAAAAATGTTTACATAAAGGTAACAAATTCCATGTAGTCCATACATAGTTTTAAGAACATAATGATACTTCAGACCCGACCCTCCCTTGCTCCCACCTGTCCTCTTCCTTCCTTTCTTGTTTTTCTTTTATTTTTTGCAATGACATACTTTTAATTTACTTATAATCACAGGCTTAACCTTCAACTAAATAAACAAATCAACAAGTAAGTAGAAAACCACTGTTCCTCAGGAGTACAGACAAGAGCTATAAATGATAATCACATTTGAAAATGTCAAATGCACTCATATACATTACAGTTCTTGTACTCTGTATATTAGTTATATATATGCATATATATATTAGTTATATATAACAGAACCTCAATGCTTTGTCAAAAGCCTATTATAGCCTTTTCTAATAAAAGGTGGAGAGATAAACCAAAAGGCAAAAAAAAAAAAAATGACAAATCAGGGCAAGCAGGATAATTTCATTTGGGGACTGAGGATCAGAACACACAGAAGCTAAATAGAACTATTTTCTGCACCCTTTTTGAGGTTAGGCATGAAGTCAGTTATAATGAATATCTCTAAATGTACTTGGGAATTATGGATATGGATATTTCCTATGCCATATAGAGTAGCTCATTGGTGGCAGAGCCAGTCTCTCTTGAATGGATTTGTTTTCTGGATGAAAGCTGCTGATGAGTAAAAAGATCCAAAACCTGCCCCTGAAAAACCAATTTTGGCATTCATACAACCTCAAGAAGAAGCAACTCTAAAATCATATAATTATACCAAATATCACTTTGAACTGATGGTACATATGGCATTTCAGAAAAGAATGTATGAAAAGAAAGAAAATGACATTTTATGATCAAACACTCTTTACTACCTCTCTATACTGAATATCAACCTATAGTATTTTTGAAGTAGTATTTCCAATTGAAATGCACATCTTCAAATGGAGATAATTGCTCAGGTCATTCACTATGACCAAGTGGGTCATGGAGAGGAGCAATAGCTGTGTCTGACCTCCTTCTTCCAATACCCAGACAGGGAGATGGATGCCATAATCACCATCCCATATGACAGATGATGACATCAAAATCACTAAAGAGAATGAGTTTGTAGCTTCAGGCCTCCCAGGAAAATGGGTTTGGGATCAGGATTCTCTGCTACAGTTGGTACAAAAATCTTGGATGTGCTTAGAAAATCTGTCCCCTGGGACTCTCCCTGTATGCACCTGTTGTTCACACCATGTGCGAGAGATCTTTTCTCTCTTTTGCTCTATTTTTTGTCTCTAGAATCAGAGCTAGGCATGCCCTCATTCACTGGGGCTCATACTTACCAGTTCTCCACTTTAAACACAAGTCACCGAGCCCTTCAGGATTCAGACTGGGGTCCTTTGAACATCACCCACCAAGTCAGACAACAGACTCTTCCTGTGACTGAATATGTCACAAGTTTCCCTCAGAGGCCTGTCACAATTCAGCTCAAATACTATCACATTCAGTGATCAGTTCTGTTGCCCAAAGATATTCTACATTCCATTTTCTTCTTTTGACATTTGTCTTTTAAAATATGAGAATATAACAGAACCTCAATGCTTTGTCAAAAGCCTATTATAGCCTTTTCTAATAAAAGGTGGAGAGATAAACCAAAAGGCAAAAAAAAAAAAAATGACCAAAAATTCAGATTCCAATGCACTTTCTCTTGTAATATTGACCTTACCTTTTGTTGAAAGATCGCGTATTCCAACCATCTCTTCACTTCTTCAGATAAAGAGCTTCTGGCAAGAAAATGATGAATGGTTGTTACTTATTTGCCTCTAAGGACTGCATTTCAGAGCAATTCTAAGCATTTTTTAATCATTGACTTATGTCTTAGTACTACCAGTTCCCAAATTCAGTTCAATGCTTTTTGAAATTCTGGGAAAAATGGTGCAGGTACTGCCTTGGTTTATAGAAGATCAGGGTTTGTGTGGGTTAGGGAGAAGTGTTTAGCCTAATAGTTAAGAAGCCTGCATCCCACATCAAATTGCCTGGGTTTCATTCCTTGCTTTAGTTCATGACTCCAGCTTCTTGCTAATGTGGACCTTAGGAGGCAATGGTAATGGCTCAAGTAATTGGGTTCCTACCACCCACGTGGAAAATCTAGAAAATATTCTTTGTTCCCAACTTCAGTCTCAGTTCAGACACTGCTAAGTCCTAGCACAGCATTCAAACAATGCTGACATCTGGGGAATGAGCCAAAGAGTGGGAGAGAGCTATCTTGCTCTGACATTATCACGCTCTCTCCCTCTCAAATAAATAGCAATTTTTAAAAATTAAAAAAAAAATGGAAATCCAGGCATTCATTCCTGCTTTGCTCTAAACTCAGTGTTAGCTCTTCATTTTTGGGATCTAAAAAGAACAAGTAAACAGATTTAAATGACAATGATGGTTGTAGGAGTGACATTGGGCAGTATAGTCCAATGAATGCTCATTAAATGCTTTAGAAAGGAAGAAATGAAGAAAGGAAAGAAATATGGAAGGAAAGAAGGATGAGAGGAAGGAAAGGAAAGATGGAGGAAAGAAAGGAGGAGGGGAAGTGGTCAGGGATCTAGAAAAGAAGAGCTGAAATCCCTTAAAATTCTTTCAGCTAGCGAAACAGCACAGACCATACATAATCTTTAATAACCATGTTCTATTGCAGCAGTTCTCAACCAAGCTTCACATTGGAATCACTTGAGTAGCCTAAAAAAATCTTGATGCCATAACTATATCCCAAGCCAATTAAGTCAGAACCTCTGAGGGTTGACCCCAAGCCTCCGTATGTTTTAAAAACTCCCCAGTTGTTCCAGTGTGCAGCCAAGGTTGAGAATCGGCTCTCTGTAGTCTGTGTGCCTTTGGAATCAATCTGTGCCTAATAAAAGGTTGCCATGGAAATTTATCCACCAGCTGGATGACAGTTGTCCAACCTCCAGGTTGCTAGCAAAACTAAAAATAACTAGTACTTTTCAATCATTGGGATTATAAAAGCTTTTATGATCTGCAACAAAATTAAAATGATTGTAATAGGACCTACCCTTCAGCTATATATACACCCATTCAGGTCCACTCACTGGACTCTTTAATCAGGCTGTGATTCTAGCTATAAACCTAATAACACCAAAAAAGCCACTGGATCTTTGCTTCACTGATAGGATCATTCTAAAAGTGCATTCAGCTGTTATTTTTTGATAAGTCATTCATGGAACAGCAGAGAGGATGTAGACAATAGGCTTATGAGTCTGCAGTGTATAGATTGTGCCATTTATTAGTTGCATGATATTATGCAAATTACTTAACTTGCAAATTACTTAAATGACAGGATCTGTTTCCTTATCTGTACAATGGGGACATTAATACTTTAATAAAAAATTTAATTACATGAAAAATATGTTATTTTGTAAATTGCAATTCTCATAGCATACAATTTTATAATAATAAAAGATAATTTTCTCTGGTGGCTGCAAAAATATAACATTTTAAGATTAAAGATAATTTATGTAAATATCTTTTCTTCATTCCATCAGGTCCTTAAATACCATCATCCTATGTGGGCTTTTTTCTCTCCAGAGTGGTATTTTTTAACAATAGTTTGAATCAAAATCCATATAGTTCTAGTTGTTGAGGACAATTTTCAATACTAGTTTTGTGAGGGAAAGACCCTGATAGTAAATGCCATGTCCCACCAAGATCCTCCTCAAGAATCCCTTGCACAATCTCCACACTGGGGTTTGCTGATTGAAATGTCTGGAATCATGTGTTCTGGTTGGGAGCTAACCATATCAGGGCATCTTAGCATTTGTTAAGCACCTCCTGCGTGTACTCCTGCAATTGAGAGACACACCTCATTGTGGTTACAGATGTTCTGCTACCTAAAAAAGCAAACTTGGAGACAGAGAAAAAGAGCAAAACAATTCATTTTCAATCTAATTAAAGTCGTAATAAACAGCCTCCTGGTGCTTAACCTTTTTTCCTCCCAAACCCTGATGTTTCAGTTGGATGCTCAGATCTGTAGCTTCGTTGAGGTTTTTCTTAATTGCCTTTCCATCACTAATGGGATTCACTTCATTATTACCTCTGCCAAAAGCTGCCTCCAACTTTCAGCCCCCATGCTGGGTCACTTAAATGCCAGTTTATAATGCATTTTCACTAAGTACTAAAATCACTCCACCTCAAAATTAAGGAGCTGAATGGGAGTGTGGCCCCACTTACTGGGAAACACTGATTAATTATGCTTATTTACACATCTACCAACTCTGTCTCCAAACCCCTTCCTCTCATTTGTTCCCTGTCTTCCCTATGTGCTTTCCTCAGTCCCTCTTTTCCTCCCTTCCCTGACTCCTCTGTCTTCATACACTGTCACTGTTCCTATCCACTCTCAGAGGATCCTCACAAAGACATCTCACCACCTCAACCATGTCTACAACCACCACACCTCCATTTTACAGAGCAACTATTTTGCTGCTATATTTTATTTAACCCCAACAAAATTCTATGTGCTAGATTTAACAGAGCCCAATCTAAAGAGGCAAGAGATTGAAGGTTAAGAGAGAAATTATTGTAGTGAAAGAACACCCTGTTGACACATGGAGACAGTAGAATTGGGACCCAGCTAGTAATAAAACCACAGAAACACGATCCAGAGAGCAGTGGGCACTGTCAGTAGGGATCACTCAGTGAATCAGTGGAAAGAGAAGTGCAGGAATCCAGACCCACTAGCCCCAAATGCTTTGTCCTTTTCACTACTCAAATAGCATTTTAAGCTAGGATGATTGGGGTCCAGTCAAAGAGAATTCATTGGAAGAGAAAACAGGTAGATATAGGGGCAGTATTATACCTAGTGTCAAGAAAAGGGCAGCCTGTTCTGGGTAGGCCTGTGGTCGCTTCTGTTGGTTTGTTAGCATTAAGACTGGCAGTTCAGTAAATTCTATTTTTTTTCTCTGTGAAGTAAGAGACAGGACTTTTGATATGTGTAAACAGAAAGGGTGGGCTAGTAATGTTGAGGACATGATTTTTTTTTAATGATCGGTTTCTTACCACTGTCTGGCCCCTTGTCTACCAAGACTTGACTTACCCTATGTGTTCACACAGGCACATGTATGAGCATGACTGATTGTAAATAGAGACACCCCGAGAGATACTTATTGATACAACCCCTGCTAGTCCTTCAAGGGGTTTACAAATCATCTAGTTAAATGAGGCTCACAAATGAATATGTTTAAAAACTTACAATAGAAGTGGAAACCCTAAACAAATAATGGTCCCGCTTCAAGAACACATAAAATGCTGACTTTAGAAATGGTGATGATGAGGTTTTATTTTATTTTTTTTTAATTTAACTGACACTTGTATATGAGATGGGATGCTGGCATCCCAAGTGCTATCTTTTTTTTTTTCCCAGAAAACTTTTAATTAAGGTATACAAACTTCATACATTTCATAAATACAATTTTAGTAACATAGTGATAGTGACTCGTCCCACAGTACCCACCCTCCCACTGCCAATCCCATCCTTCTTCCTCCTCCCTCTCCTATTCCCATTCTTATTTTTTACTTAGATCTATTTTCAATTAACTTTATACACAGAAGATAAGCTCTATACTAAGTAAAGAGTTCAACAAATAGTATGAAAAAAACTGTTCAATGGTTTTTTGATTTCTCTTTTGATTTCTTCTGTGACCCAGTATTCATTTAGGAGCATGTTATTCAGTCTCCATGTGTTTTCATACAATAAAGTGATTCCTGATTTGTTGATTTACAGCTTTGTTTCATTGTGGTCAGAGAAGATGCATGGTATGATTTTGATTTTTTTTTAATGTGCTGAGACTTGCATTATGGCCTGGCCTGTGGTCTGTCCTAGAGAAAATTCCATGCACTGGTGAAAAGAATGTGTATTCTGCAACAGTAGGATAAAAGTTCTATAGATATCCACCTGTTAGGTCCATTTGGTCTATGGTGTTGATTAATTGTTTTTTCCTTGCTGATTTTCTGTCTGACTGATGCGCCCATTGCTGAAAGTGGGGTATTGAAGTCCCTCATTACTACTGTATGGTAGTTTATGTCTCCTTTTAGAGCCAATAACTTTTCTTTTAAATAACCAGGCACTCTGTAATTAAGTGCTTATACATTTATTATAGTCACATCTTCCTGTTGAATTGATCCCATAATCATTGCATAGTGCCTTTCTTTGTCTGGTTTACAATTTTTGTGCTAAATTCTATTTTGTCTGATATTAGGTCTGATATTATTTGGTTTCTGTTAGCATGGAATATCTTTTTCCATCCTTTTGCTTTTGGTCTGCATGTATCTTTGTTGGTGAGATGTGTTTCTTGCAGGCAGCAAATAGATGCAATTTTTTTTTCCCATTCAGCCAGTCTGTATCTTTCAACTGGAGAGTTGGGGTCATTTACATTCAATGTGACTATTGATAACTAATGACTTGGTATTGCCATTTTTCCATAAATCTTCCTATGGTTTGCTTTGGATTTCCTTTGCTCTTTTACTGGGAGATTTTCTGCCTTCACCATTTCATAGCGATGAACATGTTTCTCTGTGTAGCACATCCTTTAGCATCTTTTGTAAGGCTGGACAAGTGGTGATGAATTCTTTGAATTTCTGTTAGATATGGGAGGTCCTTATTTCACCTTCATTCATAAATGAGAGATTTGCAGGGTACAGTATTCTGTGTTGACAGTTTTTTTTTTTTCTCTTAAGACTTGAAATATATCTTGCCACTCTATCCTAGCCTGTAGGGTTTCTG